ATCAGAGAGCACAGTTCCTGTTCAAGCCTTCCATCCATGAAAAAGACACAGAATATCATCACACAGGTTATTGAGGGTAGGGAATAAGAAAAATTCAAGGAAAGACAGCATGATGGTGAGAATGAGTGACTCAAAACTGATCCTTATCCAAAAACTTCTCACTGTATTGAAAGAAACCAAATGCTGCAACCTGTATTTCTTATTGTACTAAGAGAAGAAATAGATAAGTGATTTTTAGGCGAGAAGTTCTAATCACTCTAGCTCCATGTAAGCTCTATTTTCTCCCCTGCAAAATAAGAGTAGGGAAATAGAGAATAAGCTGAAATAGCTGACTTGTGAATAGAAATTACAGGCACACGTGTTATCTCCAGCAGAGGTGTACTGAATAACCTTGAAGAAGGTATCTCGTATCCCAGCTGAGAGATGCAATTTTTGTTCCTAAAGTATACACTTCTTACACAACTGCTTGACAGACGTGACTGACATTTTTGTTGATCTGTCTCCATAGTTCTTTGTCCAGTCTTCTGAGGTTTGGCGGTGGTCTGTGAGCTCTGTTGCAGAGGGTATATGGGTATTTCTTTGGTTAGGCCCTTCCAAGACTTCCACTTTCAATGGAAAGCTCAAATAGGTAATAAAATGTTATCTATGCTAATTCTATAGTCTGTTAAATATAAATTATCTGTAAATTTGTCCATTAATTTGCATAAATAACTTTATGATATGCTATGCAGAGTCATATATTTGAACTTTTTCAACAGAAATAATATTTTCAACAGAGGCAGTCTCGGTCATCTTAATTTAACTGAATTTATTATGACTTCTCAATCTCATATTTGCATTTTAGTTGAAGCGATAAAACCATATTACTATCCTAAAACTGCTGAAGAGTATATGAAATGTCTCAGATTATTACTTACTATTAAGAGGTCAAACTTTGCTATGTTTAATACCTGACAGACAAAGATAAGGAGTTTCTGAACATTTCCAGAAGAGTAGTCCTAGGTCTTTTAATTAAATCAGTCTGCAGTGGGTATATCCTGCAGAAGCTGCCTGGGAGGGCTTCCACAGGTTAGGGACTGAACTAAATTAATTTATATGGAGGCAAAGAAATGCAGTGAAGCAGCGGAGAACTCTGTGAAACCAATTGGCAGCGAGCCATCTGTGAAGCAACCACAAGTACGTCAAAGATACCTAAAAATATATCAGTTGGTTTGGGAACATAATGCCCTAACTCCAATAAAAAGGCACTTCAAAAACAACGAAATAAGTGTTTTAAAATAAATTGTGTTTATTCATATAACAATGAAATGTAAGAAGAATGGCTCTCATAGACATTGTTAGTAAGTCCTGAGTAGTTCCGTGAAATAATTATTTAATTGTTAGTGTCTACTTCTCCTCTCTGGAGTAGAAACTACTGTTTTATTTCAGTCCCATTGTCTCTCTCCCCGGTTCCCCCACAGCCTGACACTTCTGTCATGGGCACTCTTCCTTTTTCCTTCTCCCAAGTTTCTCCCTCAGGTATTCTCCATCCAAGCCACTTTGTGCAGTCTTATTTCCATCCCACTCACTTCGTTCACTTGCCCTCGCTCTACTCTCATCCCTGCCCTTCTGACAGTCCTGCTACTTGGACCTCCTCTCTGCAATTCTTCCTTTCTACTTAGGCTTCCTTCTTCCCACATTCCCTTCTCCCGTCTAAAAACTACAGACCTCTCCTTTATTTGCAACCTCCAAACCAGCCTTTCTGCATTTCTGTCTCTCTCCTGAACTCTTGCTTTTACCTCCTAATGGTTCCACTGCTGTGGAACCCCCCTCTTCCACCTCCATCTTGTATGCATCTGTCTTCTTTGCACAACCACCTTATGTGGAGGAAACTGGGGACACTTCCTTGCTGTCATTTTAGTATTTTATGCTAATTTACTCCAGTATTGTCCACCTACTTTTTATATAGTCATCAGCCTCGGGTTTAAGAAATCAGTGTATAGCCCTGATGAAGGCATCAGCGTGACGGTTCTGAATGAAATCTTCTCATCATTTTTTCCTGCTTCTGCCCACATAGTAGTGTCGTCATCGCTGTTGTAAGAGAGCCACGGGCAACAGCCTTGATTTGTGATTCATTTTGTGCCCCCTGCAGCAGGCAAAAGCTGGCTGATGGTGAGACTACCAAGAAAAAATTGCCCATGAAACGAAGTTTAACAATCTTAATTCAGCCTTGCTAGAGTACCAGAGTGGTAAAATGTGAAGGTGCTGAGTCACTAATTCTTTAATAGTTTGCATGCAGGTAGATGTTGGTACCAGACAGTTAACTCCTGAGCTGGACACAGTTGAAAATCTAGTTTTGCCATCTCTCTTCCACCCTTCCTTCAAACCTGAAAGAAGTATTAGAAAACCTGGCCACCAGCACTTTGGTACCTTGTTAGGTGAAACAAAGAGTTGTTACAGATAGACACAAAGTATCTGCAAGTCACTGCAGCACTGCTAATTTCATTCATATATGTATAGCCAATTAAGAATGTGCTTCCCAGCGTGATGGTGATTTCAGGTCCTGTACACTGCACGTTTTAAGTTGCATTATTTGAGGACATCCCAAGAGTGGACTTTCCAGTGGCTGATTTCAAGAGCAGATGCCACTGTAAAAGTTGTTTGCTTAGCAGCAGCCTTTTTTGATTACATCCATCCAGTCAGGCTGCAAATATGAAAACAAGAAGCATTCCCCTGTTTGTGGAAGTCTGCCTGCAGTAATAAATATAAGCATATATATTTTGAAACAGGTATTTTTAGAAACTTCTATTGAGGACTGTACTGCTGTTTGGACTTTCTGCCCTTTCAGATTTTGTTGCTTAGTCTATACATTTTTAATAATCACAGTGCCTGCTAGCAGTGACATTTTATGAAGGTCATTTTTCTTGTGAAGTTGGAGAATGGACTTGAATTTCATTGAAGGACTCCCCGAGCTGCAGGATCATTGTTTATGGAACTCTTTTGCATCTTGTACTACCTTTGAAGCTTGTTTAGAATTTTAACTAATAATATCTTCAAAGTGTCACTGTGCTCAAGGGCAAAAAAGAAATCTTAAAATGCACTTTATATTTAAAACCAGTTTTGAATAGCTTTGAAGCATTGTATTAGCTGAAATAAAAGGAGTAGATACAGACTTACTATGTATGCACACACAGAATTTCATGTTTCACCAACTTTTTCATTGTCAGCAAAGTGTCCCTTCACTATTGCAATGCCTTTTTCTTCTATACTAGAAAAATCATCAGGTCTACGGGTAGTCTTCAGAATTGTTAATGTGATTGATAATGTAATACCTCAGCAGGTATCTTTAGGCAATCTCCCTAGTGGAGAGGTTTTAGTTTTGTCTACATTGTTCCTACCCTGCTTCTTCTCATTTCCCCTGTGTAGAAAAACAGACACTGAGTTGTATTTATATGCCTTTTCTGTTTCTGAGTAGAGGATGGCAGATACTAAAACTAATATGCTATGCTTGAAATAAAACAGACTGTGGTGTCGGCTACTGAATTAAAATTGCTTGGTTTTGTATAAACCAAAGTTCCTGCTTCCCACAACTGAGCACATATCAAGTTTGCTTATTAATAAAAGATCTGAAGGCTTACTTAGTAGCTGTGTCTGATGTCTTCTGATACTGACATGTTAAATGTTAGTGACGATGTTTGAGAATATGGCCACTTGAATATCTGTACTGTTCAGGGGTATTTTTTTTCGGTTTTATTTATTGCTTCCTTGTAAGTGTTTTAGCTCTATAGCTAGTATAGGACTCCTGGATCCTTCTCATAGGGATGCTGTTGGGTTAATTCTGTCATTTTCCTTCTCTATGACTTTTTTTTCTATTTGTAAACTAGGAGCTCACAAAAGTACAAGGATGTGATTTATAATTTAATCTTTCCCACAGAATAATTTGTCGGGTTTTCTTCCATTTTATTCTTTTGCTATATCGAACTGCCAAGAAAATTTAGCTTATTCAGTGTGTCCTTATATTTAAGATGTGCTTTTCTGTTTCTGTTTTCATAGCTGTACCATCAAAGTGTTGTAGTTTGGCTGGATGTTTTACAATGGATTTCACAGTTTTATGAGTATTGCTAACATTTTAATGTGTGCCAAATAACTTAGAATCTTGTTTCAGAACGTGAAACAAAATGATCCACTGAACAGCAACTACTGTGAGGGAAATGAAGAGGGGGGTAGGACTGTAACCTGCCTTTGAGGTGTTATGTCCTAACTAAAGTTAGAGGTTGGGAGACTGGATGGATTGTGCATTTGAGAAAATTTGTGTTAGGAAGTAAGAACAGAAGGTTGTGCACGTCCCAGAAAAATAATTTTCCATCTGATTGCCTGTGTAGAAAAAGGACTAAAAAGACAAGAATTTTCAGACTTTGCTTCCAGGCTTCTCAATGCCCACTGCATAGGGACCGCTTGTGAAAAAAAGCCACCAGCCTGTTTGGAACCACTGTTTTGCTGACATGATCAAAAGGGAAGGCCTCAGCCTCTGGCCATTATCATTACCATTCTACTATTTGCCTGCCTGCCTGCTACATGGGCTTCCCTTTGCAAATTTTTCTTGCTGTCTTCTGCGCAGACCGATTCACCCTTCTCATGCCTGGGAAAATGCACGAGATTGATGAGGAAGAGAAGGCAGTTACATTTCGTCTTTTCTTTGCTTATTCCCAAACATTCTTTCCTTTCTGTTAGAGGAAGTTGTTGTTATTTATGTGGTGTTGGTTAACATTTCCTATATATGTAGGGTCTTGACTTTTAACATTTTCTATAGGAGTTTTTACAGTACAGCTAACAGTGCTTCTTCCCTATTTTACACAACTAAGAGAAAATTCTTTAACGTATTTCAGTTTTGAGAATTTAGCAAGGGCATCTCTTGGCAGAAACAAAAAAAGGAGATATTCTTACCCAAATTTTAGCTGGTTTCATATTTTTCTTGTCCTTGTACTTCTTCACTCACTTTCCTATTTAATCTTTGATTGCAGGCCACTAAAGAAGTAATAGAGCGAGAAGCCCCAGGGATGGCCCTGGCAATGTTGATGGGATCACTTAATGTTACTCCTTTGGGCATGCTCTCTAGGTAAGACTATTTCCTTCGAAGTATGCGGTGAACTATTTCCTTAGAAATACACATTGTCATGGTATTTCCTACTTAATAATTAGTAACTGTTTCGCTGCCTGTTGGTATTTCTTTTTTATCAGTGACATCTCTTGTCATCCTGTATTTCTTTCTGGAATTGATTTTTATTTTATTGCTTCAATTTACTTCATTTTACCTATGATACACTTAGTAATATCAATAGCTTTCGTAAGTTAGTTTGTGCTTGCACATTGTTTCGAGGTAACTAAGAAACAATGGCTGCTACAGGTTTTTGATTTCTCATTGTATAATGAGGGTATAACAAGAAAATAATTATATAAGAAATAAAGAAGGAACTTTCAAATCTGCAACTTTGTATTCATACTTGCATTTTTAAAGGACATTTAGATGAGAGGTTTAGTGATTTGACAAGGTATTTTAAAACTTTTCGTATCACGTATCACATATCTGAAAGGGCAACATTACCAAGTTAACACCTTCAGATTCTGTCCAAATTAGCAAATATTTTCTTTTTTTTATCTGATATAATTTTTTATATCATAGTTTGTGTTTATCTGAAGGGAAAGGATAACAGAATATTACCACAAGGAGAGGAAGGGTTAATTTAGCTGTTCTGTTTCTGATCAAGAAAAGGATAGCCATTTAGATGACACTACCAAGTGTGGTTTAGGATGTGGTGTGATCAGGATGGCTGAAAGGATGTTGTAATAGTAGTGGAATCAAAATGCTGGATTGCAACCTGACTCTTCTGTACACATAGCAAGAAAACGTCCCTTAAACTACAGCCGCTTTCAGTAGTAATTGAGACAATAATGGGAGATAACATTACAAAGATGCTGCATGCAATCGTATTAGGCCTTCAAAAATTTCCCAGTGAAAACCTTTTACTTCAGACCTAAAAGTAATCAGCATGCTAAAGTCCATTGTTTTTCTAACACTATTCAGATCATAAAGTTAAGTACACAAAAATTACAAAATTACGGCATTATGGTTTCATGTGCAATCTCAGTTCTGCATGAACGCGCGTGTGTGTTATGATTACTTTTTTTTTTGTAGAATTCCTCTGCAAATGCTTAGGATGGAGGAAGGAAACTTACTTTTCTTTGTTTTGGTTGTCCTATGTGTAATCTTATATTGGTTTTGGTGCTCTTTATTCAGAATCTTCTCTGAATGCAGACTCACTTCCTCTGGGATTTTTCTTACATTATTTGTTATTCTAAGACATAAATTGTTAATATATTTTCATAGAAAATTCTGCAAATTGAGGTAGTGTTGTAATCCCCTCTTACAATGAGTACTAAGGCATACATTAAGAGAGGTCAAAAACATACACTAATTTTAGGTGCACAGTTTGAGAAATGTAGATCTTAGTTTTTCAAAGTATTTAACATTAAATGTCACTTGTCCTAAGCTTACCTCTCATTGACTTCCTTTTGAAATGAACTTCTGATGGATAATTTTGCATGTAATTTCTTTGACTTTTCAAAAAAACAAAAGCAGAAGTTCCGTTATGCAACATTAAGCTGACACTTCTGTAAAACACCTGCAGATTTGGAAAATGTTAGGTCAAACATGTTGAATTTTATCACATGAACTTTTAAAAACTGTTACAAGTTAAAGGCTGTCTTCCTGACTATGGGCCAGCATTAGAAAGTGGTGAGTTATTTTGTAGACTGGATTCACAGATACTTACGGGCAAATGAGAGGCAGTGAGACACTCATAGTTCAACTTCAGTTCTAGGGTCCAGCAGGGAGTACCTTAGAGCGTCATAGACCTTTTTATGTGTTTCCTGAAAGTGTTTCCTTTTCTTCTTTGTGACCTTCCAAAACTGTCCTTGTCCCAGAATTATCTCTTCCCTTCACCCGATTCCTTGCCTGTCAACTACCCATGCCGTCTTTATTGAGGCTTTTTAAAGCACTCTCTGTCTCCTTGCCCATCTATTCTGCTTTTACCAGCATAATTACTTCCTAGGGAGATCGTGTTTTTTTCCCAAAGAGATCATGTTCTCCATTCCTACTTCTGCACCAGACCTGTATTTCTTTCCTCCCACATCCATTTTGTTCTTTCTCCCGTGTCCTGTTTTTCCTTCCACTCCCTTACTTCTATCTGTAGTCTTCTTTCTCAGACTTCTTTGGTTTTTCTTAAAATTTCTGTCCACTGCATCACAAGGCTGAGGATAACATGAGATCCACAGCATCTCCTTCAACTGTTCTACATTTGGAGGAATATCATTAATTTCTCTCTCGCTTTACCCAAAATGCACGCACATTCTGTATGCTTTTATGTTGTGAGTGCACACAGTATTTTTTGCAAGCCATGCAGTTTTTAGGTACTTCTACTTACTTTTGCATGCTCTCCTGAGAAAGTTTTGGCAGCTCCATTTCTGTCAAGCCACTAGATGTGATTATTGGCAGCCGAAACTTGTAGCTTTCCGGAGATGGCTGCTGGTCTAGTCCTTTTTTTATTGTTGGTTGGTTGTACTAGTCACTTAGCTTATAACGTTCAAAATTATTTAAAGCAGAATAAAAGAGCCAAGAAGGAGATTATTAAAGGAGCTATATGCCAAACACAATTCCACCTCATTTTAATTCCTCTGTGGATAATTCCTATTTCCTTTATTTTGAATCAGTCATAAGCTGTATCCCACGTATGGGATTTGCTGGATTGAGATTGTACTCTGTAAGTTTGACTACTGCAACAAGAGTAAATGAGCACATTTCTTTAACTCGGGCTCTTCATCTCTGTGTTGCAGTAGAGCATTCCTCAACTACCTGGAATTCTTTCTTAACTGAGGGCATATAGTGTGTAAGAAGTGAATATGGGAAAACAGAGGCTAGGAGTCAGGCAATATTCAACTTGCTAGTTGAAAATAAGACTTCTCTTCAGGCTGGCTTGACTGTGATATCAAAAGTTCATTTTGCGGCACAAAAATGGTCTCTGTGCTATTTAATTGTGAGCATTATGACAGCTGTCACTAGAACAGTTGCTACCCTGCTAGAAAATGCCATGCTACCAATAAATGACATTAATCACTGAGAATTATTTGTATAAGAAGAAATAAGGGAAGGTGACTACCCCACAAACCATGTCCTTTGGCTCAAAATTTTTGGTAATGCCCTGTCAAGAAATTATTTTCTTTTCTATTCTGTCTAAGCTGATGGCTCATGTTTTTGTTTGATAAAGAGATTGTTACACAATTTCTCTCAACTGTAGTCTCCGAATTTTTGTGGTTTGGTTTTGTCCTTTTACTTTTTTCTTATCCTTACATCCCAGCCCTGGGTTTTTCACCACTGGTTTCGTAAACAGTGGAGAAAACAGGAGGCACTCTTTACAACCTCAAGACAAAATCCAGTAATTTTAATTCTTTTTTCTTGCAAAATATTTAGCTAAAAGGAGGAAGAGGAAAACTCTAAACAACAGAAAGCATTCAGCACTTGGGTGTCTAAGTTCAGCCCTGCATCAAGACCAAAGGAATTCCCTAAAGACAAAAAATAAAATAAAATCTTCCATCTTTGATAATTGATTTTATCTTTTTTTGAGGGGGAAGGGAAGACTGTTAGGAAGAATTAGATAGGAATTGCATAAGTGCAATTTTCACTTGAGAATTACTTCCCTCTTACGTTGAATCTTAAAAAAAAAAAGAAAGAAAACATATTTGAATTAATGCAACCAGCATGACTTAGTATTTTTACCTGGCAAGGAAAATAGTGTTTGACACCATAAATTACATTACAAAGGAACCATGTGTATGAGCAAATAGGGACTGTATCAAAGAATGTATTGGATGCAAGTAAACAATAGAATTAAGGGAGCTACACAGATCTAAAAAAGATGGAAATCTAGCCAGTGTTTATACTATCAATTAGATGTTAGACTCTGTCAGCCTTGTTTGATGCTTTTTCAGCTCAGCTTCTCCTGAGCAAATATTTTTAGATGTTGGAAATTGAGTTTACAAATTCTGATAAATAATAGAATTTATCTTAAATGCTCTGTTCTTGTTTCTATAGCAGAGAAAGTTGCATGCAAGAATTTCACTCTGGATTTCTTTCTTTTCAGACCTGTGTGTGGAATCAGAGGGAAAACTCTCATAATTAATCTGCCAGGTAGCAAGAAAGGGTCACAGGTAAGAAGTGCTCTTACTGATCTGCTACTGAGGACCCATGATGAGTACCTCCCATTGTTCTGAATGGTAGAAAGTACCCACTACAACAAATTTTACAAAAGTGAATTGAAATACATGTTCATATAACTGAACGCACCATCACTCTCAGTCAGGGACGATACAATTCTGATCTGATTGAAGGTACTTTGTGAGCAGGACAGCGTTACATGTAGTGCAGGAGAGCACTCACTGTAGCAGGCAGTGCTAATGAAGAGTCTAATGGTCTCTTACACTTCCTCCTCCTTCTCTAGACAGCCTCTACCTGATCCCTGTGTTGTCTATGGCTTCCAAGAAAGCATTCTTTTTCACACAGAAGTAAGAGGAAGGCCTAGTGTATGGTAGAACTTGGGGGAATATGAAGAATATTCTCAATTTTGGTCAGCAAGAGGGAGAAAAAGGAACATCATTTTTAAGAGTTTGAGAATTTTTTAAATCTTTTGGATATGGATATCAGACTTTACACCCTTTATACAGTTTGTTTTCTTCCTGCATTTTGCTCAGTTTGGACAGGGAAGTTAGGCTTTGTGTTTTTATTCATGCTTGCTTTCTGACTGTAGAGCTGAGAGAAACATAATTAAACATCAGGAGGAAATTATTTTTTGTTAGTAGGGCTAGATCTTGCCAGTGCTCGCTCTTTCTGTGTAGTTGGCTGACAGATCCAGAAAAACAGCCTTCTCCACACAAATACTGCTAAGCTGAATAGTGGGCTGCACAACCTGGTACAAAACTGCTAAGGTAGATCCCCCATCAATCATGAGAACATATTTCTCCAAGGCTCAGACTATGTCAGTGGCCTTGTTAAAAAATGTCTTTACCTCTGGCCTCTAACAAATGCGTACCTGGTAGTTTATCAACGTCTTCTAAACCAGGAGTACCCAATCACAGAGGAGACAGTACTAATGTGTTTGGCAGCACAGCCCTGAAGTCACTGTTGCTTGAAAGACTTATGTCTGGAGATAAAGAATGTTTATGTGGGCTGTCACGTGGAAGTTGAAGAGGAAATGTTTTGAATACTATTATCTTAAGCAGCTATCACAGGTTTTCAGATACATTGTCTACATGTTTCAGTTCAAGGACTCAGTAAGCCCTCCTATGATTCTACCATTCCTTAGAGCCTTTTTAGGAAATCTAATGAGACTCTGTAATTGAAAATAAATTAAAAACCCTTGAAAACATGCAACAAGCATTGGAGGATAGTGGGGCAGAAGTATACCTACTTGAAAGTCTTCCAGTTATGAGAGGGAAGTCATATGTATGTACATGTTTAACGTAGGAGTGGGCCCCACATCTTAGAGAACTGGTGCACCAGTAAGAAGGTTTTTTCAGAAGTCTATACTTCTTTTGTTGAATTATGAAAGAGTTGAAATAGCCTACTATCTCTAATGGTTTTTGTTGTAGTCAGTAGCACTCCTAACATGCTAGGTACAGAAAAGATTGTCATTTTCTGCCCTGAGGCACTCAGACATGAAGATAGGTAAATTGTAGAAAGAGGATGAGGAAAAGAAATGGAAAAATGTTAATAAGTATTTTAACAATAATTTGATATAAAGTAAGTAATAAAAAAGGTAATTCTGCTGGAAAAGAAAAAAGGTCATATGATTTCATTATACAAGCAAGCTTTTTATAAACTGATGATTTATTTGTTCCTGTCATGATGATACTCTGTTCTGTCACAGTTTATTTTAATAGGAAACATCTTTAAAGTATCAGATTTCAGCAAAGATTTTTAAGATGAATAGTAGAGAAAATTGTTCCATAACAGGCTGGATCTCAAGAACCAAACAGGACGGGTTGTTACCAGGAATTTCTCTCATTTCTCTCTTTCATGACTTGCTAATTTCCTTTCCATCGTATTAATACAATCATATAAGAAGCTTATATAAAGCTATGAAATTGCAGCAGTATACATATTTCATTAATAAACTATTAAAATATTAATAGAAAATGGCAGCAGTCTAAATGTTCCATCACAAAAATGGACACAATGTCAAATGCGTTTTCTCCACACATTTTTGTGGCTTGTACCACTGAATCTGTAGAATACTTCCATTTTTGTGTTGTTCTGGTCTGTTTTCTTTTCTTTTAGCCTTGCAAAAGGTATTTAATGTTATGAAAGAGGGCAAAGTGTGAAATTACCAGATGCTTATTGAAATCATTGAGTCTATGGCAGTTTTCATAATTGCACTAACATTTGCCTAAAACAATGAGTTTTACAAATAACATGAGCTTTTAGAGTACTTACTGGGAACCTATTCATCAACAGTCAAGCCAACAAGGCTTTATTTCAGTGGTGGGAGCGGGGGACATGCTTCTCTAATGAGTTAATCACTAATGTACCTTTTCATGTTTATTGGTCAGTTCACAGATTGTTGTCCTTGTTTACCACTTACTTGAGGTCTGCTTTTTTGTTGAAGTAATGATGGTTGTATGCTTCAGTATTTTAAACCATTTTTAAAGTAATACTGTCGAGGCACAATACTCTGAGGTTTGCAGTTACATTAGAAGTTATAATTCTTTATTATGTTTACAAATATATTTTAATATATATTCATTATATACAGCATCTTATGCTCATCCAGTTTACTCCAGTTCTTCAGAGTGCCAAATTGAATGTTTAAAGAATTTATAAATCTGTGAAGTAGTCTGACTTTTCATTACTCTTAATGGAGCAACTGAAAGGTGGGTTCTTATTTAGAAGCTTTGAGGAAATACAGTGTTTGAGAGTCATGTTTTTGACTTACAAAGTGGCTTATATAAACGCTAGTAATTTCTGATGGATGGTTTGCTCTTTATTTTGTTTACATAGTCATTTTTATTTATTGAAAATATTTGTTACAATATCTATTTACAAAATGTTTATCATTATTTATTTTCTGGATACTCTAAATTACATTTTTTAAAATCTTCCTTATGCTTGAAACAAAACCGAAAATGAAGTGCAACAAAAGGAATAATGTCAGCTTTCTCTGTCAACTTGTATGTTCCCTAACTGCACTGCCATGGCAATTTGTTCTTGTGACCTTGCCATCATTTTCCAATAATTTAATGTTTATATGCAGTCTGCTCAAATGACATGAAGAAAACTCTTTCCTGAGGTGCCTGGGAGGAGGATGAGAGACAATAGTCATAAATTGAAGAAGATAGCTTCCAGCTGGATAAAAAGAAAAGAAAAAAAAAAATCACTTTGAGGGTAATTAAGCATTAGAACAGGTTGTCAAGAGGGATTGTGGAGTCTCTGTTCTTGGATTTTTTCAAGACTTTACTGAACAAAGCCCTAAGCAACCTGTCTGAATTCTGTATTGACCCTGATCTGAGCAGGAGGCTGCAGTGCGTGATGTCCTGAAGCTCCTCTTTGATTTGGTGAAATACTAGCATATTTTAGCAGCAGAGGTAGCTATATATGTATATGCCCATTATGGAACAAAAAGAACAGTTACACAGCGTCTGCGTTTTTGCTTTCTCCAGCCATGTAAAATAAACTTTCTAATTGTTTTTAAGACCATAGAGCAAGGAGAGGTTTGAAAAATAGATTATTTATGAACAATTTTTTCTGAGTTACATAAAATTATAATTACATCAGTGTAGTTTGTCATTCTTGCAGTATATAGGATAAGTCCATGAATAAAAAAGGATATAATTATATAAAAGTATAATTATGGAAACCCTTATGAATTGTTCTCTAGTTGTGAAGGAACATAATAGGAACGATTTCAAGCTAATATCCCTGCAGGGATAGAGTTAATGTTTTTATTCTGCATTTTTGTAGCATTCTGCCAACTGCTGTGAACTGGTTTCTGTATTATGTATTCATGAAAATTTAACTCTTGTTTTCCAAAGTTTTAATCCAATATTAGCTTAATTACAGTAGCCCCATTGTACAACTTACTATATTTGCATGAAAAAAGGCAAAAATATATAGTATAGTCCCCAGTTCTGGTTCTGAGTTTGGTTTTTTTACCCTCTGTGAGCAATTGCATAGGGCATTTAAGGTTTTATTTGTGATTGGGTGAAAAGATACATCTAAATCCCGAATATCTTTTAAGAGTAAATCTGAAAAATCCGTATTTACTTCTGCAGGTAACTTTTCATAGTCATTTCTCTTCTTGTTGTGCGTAGGAATGCTTTCAGTTTATACTGCCAGCCCTACCTCACGCCATTGATCTTTTGCGGGATGCCATTGTAAAAGTAAAGGAGGTACACGATGAGCTTGAAGATCTACCTTCACCGCCACCTCCTCTTTCTCCTCCTCCAACCACCAGCCCTCACAAGCAGACAGAAGACAAAGGAGTACAGTGTGAGGAAGAGGAGGAAGAGAAGAAGGATAGTGGAGTGGCCTCAACAGAGGACAGTTCTTCTTCACATATAACGGCAGCAGCCATTGCAGCTAAGGTGAGTCTGGCTTGTTTCCCTAAGAGACCCTTTAGTTTCTATTGCAGGTGCTTTCCACCAATATTCATTTGCATGTTAAGACTATACATTGATGTCTGTGTGGTCAAAAAGATGTATTTTAGGTACGTTTTGTAGAAATATAGCTTCATAAAAATATATGAATCCTGTTTTGGTAGGTGATCTCAAATTTCAGTGGGAGATATGTATTGCTTATTGTCTTGACGATAACATGCATTTTTATGATACCATTCTGATGTGGCAGATTATTTTTAGTGTTTTTTTTTTTAATTCAAAGTATTCATACACCTGAACGTGCAAAGTCCAGTAGGTGGCATATTAAGGAATTGCAACAAAATTTTCTAAGCTATAATATCTATCTTGAAAAGAAAATGTTGATGTGTAAAACATTCGTAAGAATTATGACAGGTAGGTAGCCGGTTAAGTAATAAGCTATCCAGACTACTGTATTCCAGTGTGCATGTCCGCATAAGAGATGTGAAATTCTGCCGCAAAACTGAATGTCATCACATTGTCTTTATAGACTTGCTTTAGCCAGTAATTATAGATCAACGTTACTCAAACCAAAATAATAAATTTGAGACTACAAAAGGAAAAAATTAGATAACACTTGCAAATTATTTCAGTTCAAATTTTAAATGTTTTCCAAAGAAATATCATATTATTTGAACCAATATATAAATATTTACCTCAGTTTTGTGTCTTCAGTTTTCAAATGGAAAGACAATGTATTCCTGTGTGTTTGGAAAGGTTTTTTTCCAAACTGCTTTGTTCTATATTTACTCCACAAATTGTACTTTTAATTCCTATTGTGGGAATTGAAAGTCTAAGTAACTCAAAATTATATTAAACAATTTCTAAACCAAAGCAGCAACATTCTAACTCCAGAAATGTGAATTCAGGTCTGAGCCATCTTGACATTTCTAAGACAGCTGCAGATGGAGATATCTCCTCATGTACAGAAAATCCTGATTACATATATCTTTATAGGGATGAATTAAGGTAATTATCACTTGCAAGTTTCAGGTTTTATTAATGCAAATTTCAAATTGATTAATTTCTTTTGATATAGGTAAAGATAAATAATATGTGCAATTTTTAAAAGTAGAGAATACCTGAGATATAAACTGGCTATGTTCATATGAGCTTGGCATTTCAGTGTCACACTTGTTTTCACCTCATTCCCTTTCAGTCATTTGCTTGTATAGTATCATGTTTTCCTGTCACTGTATTCATAGCTGTTATGTGTTGTGCATTAGAAGCATCCATCCTACACCAGTTCAGCTGTTATCATGGCAAAAGGTGAACAGCCCATCCCTGGTCTCATCAGTTATTGCCATCACGCAGCAGGCAGTGCAGGAGAACCGGTAAGAGACACTTTTCCAAGAGGCTTTTGCACTAACAGTGGCTAAAAATACACTGCCAGCCTCCTAGTCTACTGTGTGAACAGACAGTGTTATTTATTTTCTTCCAACAAAGACACATCAGTGCTATCTTTTAGAGAACGTACTACAGAAAGTTTTCTGTTTAAGGTACAGGGCTAAACAAGGTAAAGTTCATGTGCGTTGTCAGTTTGAATCATTTGGCTGCTGAGATAATCATTGCTATAAAGCCTGTGTTTCTGATTAATCATTGGCTTTATCATCTAATATACTCAATAATCGAATATAATTAAAATAATCTCCTAAAATTACTGCTTTAGAGCTATGAAATTTTGGTAACTTTTCCCCATTCATTTGCCTTGCTTTGCTTTTTTCTCTCAATAGTTTGTTAATATAATACAGCATTTGCACTGGGTGTGCATAGTTTGCTTTCATCGCTTGCAGTTTCTCCCTTATTTTTGTATTCTGTTTAGAAGTAGAATTTCTCAAAAACAGAAGAAAAGACTTGAGGAGTCAGGATACAGTGGACTTGTTATAAATTACTGGATTTTAGTGAATAGTAGTCAACTATTTCAATGAATGGTAGAAAGAACGTAGTTTATTATAACCCAGAGGTTATAACTCGGGTTCTAACAAAATACTATACTTTATTTTCCATCTCCCAAAGGTTTAGTCTAGGCTTGAATCAAGATAGAATAATGGCTACAGTATCATCAGGAATGAAATGTTATTTACTGTATTAATAACTGTAGGTTAGAGAAACCTAAGGAAGGCAGTTGGCCTAGAGAGAGTTGTGTTCATTCCATGTCAGCCAGCAAATAGGGTGTAAGTTCTTGGGAAAATATGTCACTAGATTTGATGACCAGAGGCTGCACTTTCTTGTTCCCTTAGGCAAATGGTAATTTAAACCATCAATCAAATAGTGTAACCCCTCTGTATTTAAAACATGATGACCATGTCTCTTGAAAAGTCACTTAGGAAATGTGAAGGCTTTAAAGTTCATACACCTGGTGATAAAGCTATGTATATGTACGTACATACATACACACACATTTATTCCAATAGTTTCATTATTTTTTCAGTTGAGGTTACTAAACTAGAATTTGCACCATATTCTTCAGTGTCAGTAAAACAGTGAATTCAGCCTCTCTGAAGCACACTGTTAAGCTGTCATCCAGGCTTCTGTGCCCTTTTGCAAATTACTCTTGACCTATTGTTTTCTGCATTCTATAATCCAAATCAAATCCTCAAACTCAGAGCAGGAAGTGGCTAGTTTTTCAGAAGGTTGTTGGTTTTTTTTAAGCTATTCTTTCTCTATCCTTTTAAGACATTTTTGCTCTTGTATAACTATCATAGTAATTACCATCTACAGCTTGTTTCTTAGTACCTCACTAGCACTGTCAATCTTTGTTCCAGTCCTGGGCAAAAGAGAATAAAGAGCTCATATCTTTTCCTTTTCCCTCTTCTTGTCAACACTTAGTTCTCTAATCTGAAAACACAAATATTTAAACAGATATAAAAGTACTTCGAGGAAAGGTCATGTCAGATAAAAATTATAGAAGCAATGATTGAGGGATATGGTGGATACCTTTCTCTGTCACTTCATTCATTTCTCATGCATTTCTTTCTCCGTCAGTATGTTACAACAGGTTTCTCACTCCAGCTAGTGCAAACAGAACCTATTTTCACTGACCTTAGAGTTTTATTGTACCCCATTTAGGGTTTTGAGACCTCTACCCTCTATTAAATTTGTTTGAATCTGGCAAATGAGTTGAAAAATTTTAGGGAAGACATCATAGATACTCAGAGTGTAATTTTGTGAAAGTTTAAAAAAAAAAAATCTGTCCAAAACACAATAATATTCCTGCCCTTCCTTACTGCAGATTTCCAGGCTCCAGGAAACACAGAAATTTCTCATGGGTTTATCAACATCTTTAACAGAGTTAACAAGAAGTTGCCTTGATTAGAGACTTAGATTGCCTAAATTTAATTTTAAAAGGAAAAAACCTTATTAAATGTAGGTGAGAAAAATGAGACATTCCCCATATCACATAACACATATACATAGAAATACCAATCATATTCTATTCTCCCTTTCACTTAATGAACAGTATATATCCATTATATTTCATATATATTTATGTTTATGCAGTATATATATTAGTACCTTCTCTGAAATCAGCAGGTTGTAGTGGTTTGAAGAGAATATTAATGCTGGTTTTAGCAATACAACAACCCTGCTGTCATATTAGAGAAATAAACCTCTTGAGAGCAAAATTTGTGACTGAACTAACTTAATTCTCTCAGTCAGATTTTGTGTCTGCGAAAGCTAGCAAGCTGAAACTTAGAGTTCTAGATAGGTTTATATAAGGATTGTTTTATGGCAGTTTTATTTTCTGTAAAGGTAGTGATTAGGGAATAATTCTCATTGAAATGAAATGTCTGTAATCATCTTTTCCCTTTGTCTTCAGCTTCCTTTTCTGATTAATGTCCTGGCTGAAATTTTACTTAGATTTTAATTTTCTCACAAGCAAAAATTAGTACTTCACATGCAGTTCAATGGAGACTGGAATTGTCTCAGTCACTTTGTTACAGAGATATTTTTTTGTTCTGACAAAGGTGATATCAGATAAAATTTTAGAAGCAATGATTGATGGATCTGGTGTCATATCAGATGGAAAAAAGAAAACAATCACTTGCCTGAAGGGGATGAGACAATATGTAATATCTGGTTACTCTAGAGTAACTGGAGTAAACCCAGGGAGAACTGGATCATCATATCATTTGCAAAAGCAATATTGTATTTCTATTGTGGGATCTTGGAGTATATAAAAGGGGTAATGGACCCATACACAATCATATCAAGATGTGTGCCGCTTTTTATCAGAGGAGGGTAAAGAAAAGGTGTCTTATTTAAAGACTTAAAACTATACTTTCTTTTATTGTATCTTTTTTTTATTTTATGCCGTTATCAAAATGTAATTTCTTTGCTGTATTGTCCTTAGTCATGGAGATTAAAAGGAAGCATTAAAAGTTGTAGGTAGTATTGGAGCTATGCCAATATAAAACTTAGGGATGTCAGCCTTTTTATATGTTTAACGTATTTAAGATGGGAGTTCAGGAGAAAAAGAGAACAGAAGGGAAATGGTGCTTCTAACTACCAACTGTTTGCATGATCAGAATATCATTGTCCCTGTTTACCTCTATTTATAGTACCTCTCGAAGATGCCATTTGTAAATCAGAATACTCCAAGTAGAGGCCGGTTAGGCACTGTTTCTGGAGAGGAAGATATCCCCAGCATAATCATCCATAGTGAAGAGAAACTCCGGTGACTTCATAATTTATAGTGGAAATTGCAGCATAAGTTACTTAGCCATGAAAGATCCGCTGAGGAAAGTTGGGGGTTTTTAAATGCTGACAGAAATTGACTGGCAAAAAATACCGTCGGTCTAGAAACACAGCAGTAGAGCAGAAAGCAGGCAGTTGGTGGCACACTGAGAACAAGATCTGTTTCCACACAACTTAGAAACAGGTTATAAACATGAGAAACTAGTGGGTGGAGGAAGGTTTATGGTGAAATAAGATCCCCTAGGTATAACCCGGTATCTCTAAGTCAAGGTTGCTAAGTTAGACATAGTCTTTATTTATAGATGGGAACCAGGGAAGTTGAGGGGGAAAAAATGACATTAAAAAGCCCTATTTAATGACTTGAGCCTTGAGATTGGTCATTTTAACTGCACAGAGACAAGCAACAAAGCAGTCTTAATATCCTGACACTAGTCCTAAGGATGCAACAGATTTTAAAAGCTAGGATTCAAGCCTGTTCCTGGAAGGAGGTACTTTCCAGTGTCTTCTGTTTGCCCTAAAGCCTTACTACGCAAGAATGCTCAAAATGCCTAGATGCAGACTGGGTACAGCATCTCCATTTAAAAAAAATTCCTGGCTGGAAATGTGCAGTGTTAGTGGTTTGGCTTGTCACTGGATCTTCATTTCTTGCTTCCTTTTATTGTCTGCTACTGCCATTTCCCCCAAATGTGAGGGCTCTTTTGGCGGTTCTCTTGGAACTTGAACATCAGGCTGAGCTAAGAAATTCTTAATGAGGAGAAAGATCTTAAACTATATGTATATATATTCCATCAAAGATCTGAATTTCTACATTTTCTTGTCTGTTGTGATAGAAAAGTGAATTGCAGGAAGTAAGAGCAATCTGATCTGGCGAAGTGCTGCCTCGAAAAAGGAAGAGGTTAAAATCATGAAAATAAAATCAGAATAAGCCTTTGTAGAGAGTGTGTTGTAGCGGAATATCTGCTGTATTTTGTGTTGTAGAACTGATGTTAGAGATCAGTTCTATCTGAGATATTTATTATTCATGTGTCTTACCATTTTACACAAAAAATAAAAAATTAATCATTATGTTAAACTAGCAATCCAGCGAATTGTAAAGCCGGTGTGATATCTGCATGACTGGGCCCAAATACTGCAGTAACAAGAAGCAACAGACTTTCTAAGACTCAGTATATTAAAGCTAAGAAAAGCTTTATTCCTAAATGCATTCTTCTACCTCTTTTCTTTGGAACTGGTGATAAAACTGAACAGGAGAGACAGAAGATAAAAAATAATGATAGATTCATTTTATTGCTGAAAGTAAGACAACTTTCTCACTGTTGTAAGTTGGTGTAATTCCATTTATTTAAGCGGCTTAACAATACCAGCTAAAGGATCTGTCCCTAAAATTCCATCTCAGAAATAGCTGGCCTTTTAATACATTATGTGGAAAAAAAAAAAGATTGTATTTTTATTTTTCCCTTCAGAATGCATTTTAAACCAAGTGTTGGCTTTGGATGGTGTTTTCTAGCCTATACTCCCTACAGAGAGGCCTGTGGCTTTTGCAACACAAATCTTACATCAAGAATTTCTGTAGCTGAAATAAAGTCTTCAGTACACAGAAGGAAGAGTATTTACTCCCTGCATGACATTTCTTATGAGAAGTTTTCTCACTTCATGACGTTTCTTCAGAGGGGTTCCGTCTTTGCTAATAAATGGTTTTCTGTTCAGAATATTGTTCTCTAGTTATAGAATGGGAATTCTGCCTCCCTTCATGCCATGGTAGAAATCACTGTCAGTCATTGCCGGGTTTGAAACAGAGGCTTAAGAGGAAAAACGTTCCTTTCTTATTATTTCCTGTTGTAGTATGTTTGATTCATAGGTTTTTCAGGACAAATAGTATGTTCTGTGCTACTTGAGTTAAAATATGATCTTCTATATTTGCTAGGTATTTGTTACTGAAATTATGAGAACATGCCATTAACCACTGCCAGCATTGCGTATGAGGAGGTGTGCAAACTTGAGAAGAGGGGTATTCCTACGTTTTTGATGTAAGGTTTTGAGTAAGTTTTAAATACAGTATATTTTTTGCTATTAATTCCATCTCTCTTAAGATTCCAGATTCCATCATCTCTCGTGGTGTTCAGGTGCTCCCACGTGATACAGCTTCCCTCAGTACTACTCCTTCAGAATCCCCTCGTGCCCAGGCCACCTCTCGTCTCTCCACCGCGTCCTGCCCAACACCAAAAGTAAGTACACTTATGCTTTGCAAGTTCCATGCTCAGACATACAATCTATCAGATTAATGTATTGCATCTGCTGAACAAGGTTGGTTCGCATGCAAGGGTTGTATCATTCTAAGTAATAGGGAAATGCAAGACAGAACAGTTCATTCCATGTGTACTGTTGCACAATTTAATATGTGGGTCCACCAACACTTTATGGTTACTGAAGTTTCATGTTATCTCTTGCAATATCAATCATGAATATGGAATTGTTAACACCTTGAATGTCTTTAATATCCCCAGGAACATAGATAATCCTGCCACTGAGTAACAACATTAAGCAAGTAGTATTTTGTCGACAAAACGTATGTGCAAATTTCTAGCCTGGGCTGGGGCAGTTCTGTGCCCCACTTTATTATTGTTTGTTTTAAGACACTTTCAAGCCAACTGGTTTTCCTCAAACTTAGATATTTGCTGCCTGACATTTGGAAACAAAAAACAGCCTAAATTGAATAGAAAGAAAGTTTTAATGCCAACCTTGTGGGATTATTATTCAGTTCTTACTGATTATGCTGAACTATTTAATCATTGAGGTGAACTCTACTGTGTTCTCTTTTTATCAAACTTTAAATAGCATACATCAAAAACTAAGTGAATTGACCAGTGGCAAGGCCTGTAACGTTTACATTCGGCAGGATTCCTTTCAACAGAAGAAAACTCTGTCTGAATTTGCTTTGCGCGTTCACATCACAAAGATCTTTCTGTGGCACCAGATGCTGACATACTAATAGACCCATAGCAGATGGCAAACAATAACATTCTTCTTCATCTAATTCATGATCCTTGAAGATTATTCTGCTTGCTAAAGTGATTGCCAGCATCTGCTAGTTCTTCTTTCCTGCTGTCTCATTCTTTTCTGTCAACAAAAAAGATTTATTCGCAACCACCCATAGAAATGTTTTGGTTTAGCCTATGGGATTGTTTTATGCAGTACTCACCTTCACTGTAATAGAATCAAAATTATTCTGATGGACAGCATACTTGAACTTCATTATATAGTCTACTTTTCTTAAGAAGATGCTCAGTGAATTCTATCTGCAAGCGGCTCCTTCATTTTTTTTTGCTAAAAAATTGTCACTTGTCCGATGGCTTAAAGATAAAAACTCAGAGCTTGTTACATTAAAACACTCAGAGCAGAAGAGCAATACAAAACAGAGAAACTGCACTGAGTTTTATGCCTGTTGACAAAAGAAAAGTGTCCAAAGGAAACCAGTCACAGGCGTAAAAAAGAGACGGCAGTGCTAAGAAATAGCTCTAGGTGAAGCCTGTATATTTTCAGGAAGGTTTTCACAATGGGAAGGAGTAAAGCTTATCTGTTGTGAAGCAGAATGCACTCCTCTAGACTATCTTCAAAGATTCAGAAATTACAGAAGGAAGCTACAAGAGCTTTGATACAGATTGAAAACCTGAAACTCTTCTTTGGGAAATTAGTTGAGATGAGCTCTCATCATAATTGGATCATGCTTTGGTATATTGTGTTAAGCCATGTTTTTCATGCATTACTGCAAACACAGATTTTGTTCAAAATGTGTGAGACCACACCACTTTTATAACAGGAATTGCCATGCGACATCTAGCTAGTCTAGCTTTTCTGTGATGTCTTTTGAAA